CTCAACTTGCGTAAACCAGCCATCTGGTTTTTAATAGACAGAAACTATCTCACCATTGACATCAGTGGAGCTGGAAGAGTCTCCACCAACCACTCAACTTCCTTTTTCTCCAGTCCTCCAACTCCCAATTCCTTTTGTAAGATTTCTTTTTTTCCCCATCTTCAATAGACCCTTTTCCTTGTATCAAAGAAGTAGGGTCTGACACCTGGACATCTCACAACTCTCCCTCGTGGCTATTAGTTAAAAACTCCTCCACAACCTGTTCCACTTCACCTTACTCAAGGCTGTGAGGAAGCCAATATTCCAGAAGCCTCAGAGCTAAGACCCAGATCTTTTGATGGAGCCCATTAAAGCCACTGGGAATCACATTCTGAGGATCAGTAGATATCCAACAGAACTCTGGCAACATGCAGGTGGTAGGACCAATGAATATTAACTCTGAAGATGAGAGCTCAGGCCCCTGCAAGGCAGTTAACACGTAGAAGAGCTCCTTCTGCACTGGTTGTGCCAGCATTTAAATGGCAGATCGTGTTTAGCAGCACCAAACACAGCAGTTCCTGCTTCATTTTCTTCACCTACCAGTTGCCTTCAGACTTTAAGGAATTGTACCCCCTTCTCCACCCAGCATTGAAAGAGGAGCTAATATCCATCCCCCTTAGCAAGGGGAGGTCCATGTCCCCAGTCTAGTTGGTTTTCATACATATTTTGTAACCCTTATTTGTTCCAGCACAACCAGTTTTGGAGTAAAGGCTCTTCTTGATTGAGGGCAGCAGAATATGATCCCCAGAGATTCGTCTGTGGCTAAACTGTGCCGCTTTCATGGTGAAAGAGTCTGGGAACATATTCCTAGAGCACAGGCTTTTTGAATGAAACAGAAAAAAAAGAAAATTAATTACATCAAATAATTCTATGCTTCAAATTCATAACTATATTTAACAACAACAACATTCAGCCTTATCATCAGCTATCAAAAGCAATGAAGGTTGATTGCAATGGGAGTGCTGTCAGACTAAAGCTGACCCAGGGACCTTTAAGTACAGTATGGCCCAAAATAATGTCAGTATAGGAGATTTATTCACTGTCTCCATCTTCTACGGGAACTTCATCCTTCCTTTTACTCCCACCTCCCTGCCCCATTCTGCCACTCTCCCAATTACCCCTATACACCCATTCATGGAGTTGCACTCTAAACTGGATTAGTGAAAGGAACTGCTTTAAAAATAAAACACTTTTTCCTTTAGGAAGAAAAGGCTGGAAAGGAAGGAGCAACTGCTCAAACACTCCAGAGATGGGAAGCCTGAAGTCCTGACCCCAAAGGCAGGTAGCCCAGTCCAGCGTGTGAGATGGGACACAGATCTTTAAAAAGCCTGCTAAAGGTATGACACCAAACAGCAGCCCCATGAAGCTTGGAAAAATGTGCTGCTGCTTGACAAAACACACCCAAATCCCTTTTCTGAGCTGGTCTTTAGAAATTAAAGTGACCTAAAGCAAAGCTTATTTTAAAATTATGTTTGTTAGAATAGAGAAAAAAAAAACATAATGAGAAAAGCAAAGGAAATAATTCTTAACAAAGAGGATTCTGTGATGTCGGTATTTTCCGTGGGAAAGGCCCTTGGCATTGCTACGGTGAGAGCAGAGGACATTTTATAAACATATTTCTATAAAGAGAAAAGTATTCAAATTGGAAATGCCCGTCTGGCTGCCTCTCCCCCTTCGCAGCTTGTGTACTCCTTCCGCAGATAACAGAGGGCAGCTCGTGCTACCAGGCTGCTCTCAACCTTCTCTTCGTTAACTTTGGGAAAAATAAACACTCTATGCTACATTCTTTGATGGCAATTAGAAGCTGAATCATGCAACGCACCAACGCTCCAGTGGTCTTTGGGTGTTTACAGTTTACATCTAGTTTTGTTTAGGGCTTTCTTTGAAAGCTACACTATTGCTGAGAGTAGTTGGGGGAGCTGGTGACATACTTAGAATATAATTGTGGGAAAGGCAATTTAATAAATTCTACAAATGAGGAATCAATGTTGAAAGAAAGAAAACCATCTCAGTTAAGAAAACCATTCCCCCAGTTATGTTGGGAATCTTTTCAGTTCACAAAGGGATACGATGATTTTTCCTTGTCCCGTCAAGCAGTTCTGGTGAATTCAGAGGGGTTACTAGTTTGGAATTAATGGTCTCTAGCAGTAGGGGCCAACTAACATTTGAGTATTAAGGAAGGTCCCAGAAGGTGAGCAATCAATTCTCTACACAGAAAGCCTTAAAACACCATAGATACCATTCTACAGGCAGCATTACACTTCATTCAATATCTAGGTTTGCTGTTCGGGACACATGAATACATTGGTCATTTCAGATTGGTTGCCAGAAAGGATGAACAAAACTCCTCCCTCTTTGCTCTCAGATAGAAAGCAGTTAGTTCTTATTTAAGTAAGAATCCTTATTTCCTATCTATCTTTACTCTTATATCACATGAACTTGTGCTCAGTTACAGCAAAAAAAAAAAAGTTGCAAAAGGATAGTTCATTCTCAGACATAACAAAGAAATAAAACTGCTCATTTCAGCCTAGGGTCATTTTAGGTTGACCTTGAGTCATTCACCTGTATGAGCCAACAGCCAGCACACCTGGGAGACTCCAAGAGAAACGAATGCACTATTTCAGTTCGGATGATGATTTAAGAACCCACATGCTTCTCTGATTTGGAACTCAACCAACATCTTGGCATGACGCTGTCTTTTTACTCAAATACCTTTCTCCTCCCTCAGATTGTGCCCATCTTATTTATGAACACAAGCACAGGATGGTCATGGCAAGCACCACCACGTGCAATCTGTAGAGCTGATTTTCTATATGAAGTTGGCTGGTTGCGCTTCTTAGTATCTGTTTAACTCTCATGCTTTTTTAAGGAGGAAATGTTACATTCCAGATCTGATTCCAAGCAAAGAAATAGAAAAACTCTCAACTCTGTTACACACAGTCCCAAGGAAACCGGGAAGACAAGATTTGATGGTATAATAGACACAGCTGGAGGCAGATCAAAGCAACGCAGGCATTTTTCAACAAGAAAGATGACAACTTCTCTCAAATGAAATTAGGGCTTCCACTTACTCTTGTGATGTTTGGAACATCTGCATTCAATATCCCAGTTTTTTACCCTCTCAGTAGGACAGATGGTAATGAGGTACCCAATTCCCACTGGCTTTCAAAGAGATTTAGGCACCTGCCCCACATTTGCTCACGACTTCTTTCTCCACGTCACTTCCAGCAATGACAAACTGCACACAAACCAGGAGGTTCCATCTGCCACTTCGCTGCCAGGTTGCAGTTTGCCCTCGCATAAATCACTCACCCTTTGTGCTCCTCTTTTTAGCCACCCCATTTGAGAAGTAAAAAAAAACCCACTCCATTAATATATTTAAAACTTTTTTAAATGCTTTGAGCTTACGCTAGAGGCAAATTATAAATACATGAATATCTAAATCACCAACGTTCAAAAGCGACAGGAAAAATATTTGTTGGTGGATTAACTACACATGATCAATACCAAATAAAAGTCTACTTGGGTTTTGCTGAGGTCATTTAGTGCTGTACGATTCTCATGAAGTAAATATTTTCGCAAGTGGGGAATGCTCTGAGATTAAGCAATACATTACATTTTTTGATCAAATGCCAGAAGCCATCGGTGAATAGGAAACAGACATCAGTAATTACAGTTCGTACTTCAGCTATTTCAAAACCCCTTGCTTCAATGAGCAAGTATTAACTGGACAGACACTCCTTCACAAATTAGAGGTTGCAAAGGCTTATTACACACCATACTTATCTTTGAAACTTGTCCAACAGAATTAAACTTAAAAAAAAAGATAGAGATTATGGTTGCGGGCAAAAAACTATTAAAACTCTAACAACTATATATATGTTTTTATCTGTCAAACTGTCCCTGCAGCCACTCTTTGGTTTAGGAGCTCAGGAATGCAGTATTAAGAAACACTAGTAATTGTATTGGGATGGTGGTGTCAAAATTCAAACTGGCTGTATTTTTGCCACAGGAGTTGATAAAACAATTTATTTCTTGATTGTGTAGGCCTTAGAACACAACAGAATTGCAAGAACATGAGTCTGGACTATCCCCAGATGGGAGTAGAAATGGAAAAGTATGATACCAACATGAGTGAGAAGCGTACGACGAGAAGTGTCTACACTGCTTAGGGAAGAGTGCACAGAGACATCAACTTCACATCGACCAAATCTATTGTAAAACCAAAAGCAATCCAGGTATCTCAGTGTTTTACAGTACCTGAGTAATAAACTCCATTAAGAGACCTTACCAGCACGTAACAGCACTGGCTTTGATGGGGCCAGGCAGCTCAAGATTCAACCCCTGTTGAAAGAATGACTCCAGAGAACTGCACTTGGGAAGCTATGAGATTTTTTTTTTTTCCCCTCAAATGACTTAAGACTACTCAGGATATCCAAGAGAGTTCCATGGCTACAGCTGGAAGAGATGAAAAATCACGGTGGAGGAAAAATTGGGGCAAAACTAGTGTGTGCATTTAGGTTTTTCAAGGCTTCTGAGGGGCAGGAAGGAGATTAGACAAGGCTGCCTTTTCACTGTTGCCCAACCCAAGATACCACCAAATAAGCTCCTAATAAATATTTAGCTTCACAACAGATTTGCTTGGAAATTAATAATTTAAGTACATTCCTCTAGATACGTAATTTCAGTCAGACAATGAGATAGTACAAACTTTTCATTTGCTAGAAGAATTATTACTACATCTCAAATTTAGTGCAGTATAAGAGATTATACATTTAAGCTGATTAAAAAGGTTTCGGTTAACTGAAACAAGCATTTGGATTGTTTTAACACTGCTAAAAACCAGGAAAAGTTAAATCTCAGGATGCAGTTTGACTTGTTTGGCCAAAATTCACAGCACAGAGAAAAAATCATTTAAAACAAAAAAGTGTCAGGAATACAAGACTTCTTAGAATCAGATCAGCAATTTAGGAGGATGTTTATTAAAAGTACAGTTATGCGTTCATTTTTTTTTTATTATGTATTCAGATGACCTCTATAAAGCTGTATTAGGCTTTTGTATTTTCCCTGCTAATCAGATGGGTTTTCTTGAACACAGTATAATTCAGGGAATTAACTAATATTCTAAGTGAATACTTTAGGGAGAACAAAATACTTGAAACGTGATCATTTTAAAATTCGTTGCACAAGTAACCCAATGCCCAGTATGCTGCATACTTTCCAAATAGTTACATTCCTAATGGCTTAACATAAAACTAATTGGTTATTTTAAGTGAAAAATATTACAGGTGGCTGGGCATGCACTGCTGTCTATGATCTGGCAAGCTCTCTGCCAATAGCTGGGTTTTGAGGCTTTGGATTTCCTTTAAATCACATTTTCATATCAAACAGCACAGAGCCTTAAGATCAAGATCTTTATTTGACTAATAAATACTGTTACTATGAAAAGCAACTATTACAAGAAAATGTATAGCCTCTGTTTAACATACGCTACTTTTAAATGTTTAATGGAATAGTGCTGATGTTTTCAGCACAAAATTATCAGCATCATTCTGCTTTTCAGTATGTAACAAGCAGAAAGGTCAACTGTGTCTAACACTCGTCTACCAGCTGCTTAAAAAACAAAGAAATTACGGACCGAGAACCTGGAAGTTTTGGACAGGAATATTTGGAACTGAGAGAAATCTTGATGAAGGTTCATGGTGCAATCTGTTTATCCAAGTAAACATGCAATTTAACTTTACATAATCACAAAGAGATATCATTTGTTTCCTTCCACACCAAAGTTTCTAGAGCTAATACAGTTTGTAAACTGTAGTGTGAGATTTATGATGTTATACTGCAGAAACCTGTTTAGTCCCTGATTTACAATCCTGGCAATTGTGTTCAGCTCTGTCATCGTAACTAATTACAGCTAACTGCAGATTACCATATTGCAAACTCTCATCTTTGTGAAAGAAATATGATGCTCTGCTTAAAAAAAAAAAAAAGAATCAAACATCCTGAGGGCTAATGAACAAAAATGCACTATTCCATGTTGGACTGCAAACCTAAACTCTTCGAATTGGGGCCGTAAAACTTCAAATTGCTATTTGTTGGCAAGTTGTTTTAGCCCCAAGTACTTACACAGTAAATCACCATTACGCTAATACCATACCTTTGGCCTGAAACATATTAATCTTGGTTAACAATAACTGACATTTACATTACCAATTCAATTCAGGCATTGTGGTGACTAAACATATACGCAAGAGCTTCAGGGAGAAAAGTTATTAGTTCTGAATGTGTCCTTACTTTTCACTGAGAATAATTTTGAAGAAACATTATCATCAATTCCTGTTATAATCTTTTAACATAAACATTCAAATCCTAATTGATCTGTAAAACATTTGATTTGAAGTAAAACCTGCATTTGTTTCTTGGGTACAGTTAACTGCACAATGTAACGTATTCCAGATACATATCAAGATATGTATTTCTATACTTTACCTGCTCAAAGAAACTAGGACTTTTCAAACTTCAGTTCTTGGGAAGGCAAGGAAAATGAGACTTTGAAATATTCTGAAGAACATGGCAGCAGGACATGATGAATAGTATCAGATCCTCCCCGGAGAGGGAGGATGGATTTTTTCAGCCAACTTTTTTTCTGTTCATATTTAGTAAGTACATAAATGCATAAATAATGATGTTTTTAAACAGGTAGCGTGGTTTCACTTTTCTTTATTTAGTGCCTCCCCAAACTTTCAAGCAACCCAAGAAGTGGTACTTAGTACACTAACTCTGTATAACCTTAGCAGGAAAACTCACCCTTCTCCTTACACCCACACATTGTAACTGCTGTGCAGCACAGAACACATATGGAACCAGTATTTTATCCTAACATCAGAGAGTTCTCTACCAGACTCCAAATGCATTATCTTAGATTTTAATTTAAAAAAAAAAATACCATATTTAACATACTATTGACATTTAGATAGCATTTTTCTTATGAGAGAGCCAAAACAAGATACTGCAATTTTTTTAAAAATACCATATTTAACATACTATTGACGTTTAGATAGCATTTTTTCTTACATTATGAGAGAGCCAAAACAAGATACTGCAATCTAACATCATTCAAAGAAACACAAGGAATTCGATGTGTTGGGATTTTTGTTTGGGTTTAGGTTTAAGAAGTCACTGACAAAGATCCTTCAAGCAAAACTAAGTATTTGACTCCTGAGAAAAACAGGATGGGTTACATGTATCCCATGTTGCTTTTTGTTTCCCATCTTTTCTTGGCTTCAAATCTGAAATAGAACACAAAAAACCGTGTTAAGAATCATGAACATATGTGTTTCAGCTATTCAATGATACTATTTTTAATAACAAAAATAAAAACTTATTTTTAATACTAAATAAATACATGATAAAGTATATAAAGTAATAAGTATACAGTAATAAAGACATGAAGGCAATTGTAGCCATATTATCAATACTTTAATTCTGGTAAAGCTTCTGTACTTAGGTCTGATACACTGCTAAAAAAAAAAAAACTACAGAAGACAACCCGAAACCCAACAAGGTTAAACTAAACAAATAAGATTAGCACAAGCCTATTTCAACTAAGAAAACACTGAACTGAGATTGTATTGTATGCAGTTAGTGCCAATGAAACCACAAATGTTTAATTCCATACTCAAATGACTTACCCCCAAGCAAGCTTCTTTTTCTTTCGAGCTTCTTGGGCAGCCTCCGCTTCTTGCTTGGCTTTCACAAAGTTGCGGCAAGCAGCAGCTTTGGCAATTTTCACACCAAGCTAAGACATAAAAAGGAACAAAGGAAAACTGAATAGATGCAAATGGCTCACACGAAATTTAAGCCTCGCAAATTACTTGGTCTGATATTGCTTCTCAAAAGTCAAAAGATATTACAATATCTTCCAAATATTAGGCTGATGCCTATTAGATCAGACAAGCAGGAATGTCTATTGAGAGAAATACAGAGGAGTAGGATCCCGAGGCAAGCAATCCTTTTCACCAAATCCTTCATTTTTAAGAATAAAAGCAAAGGGCAATAGCTCAGTAGATCCTTTTGCTTGTTTGTTCTTTAAATAAATATATAGACATGGATATACACACACAGCTTCCATTAGTAACACCAGTCTGTGACCTCAGCTGCACAAACCCAACAGTACCAGGTCCTACCCACAGAAAAAACACCCCAAAAAGATGGTTTTGTACAGAAAGAGCTGCTGCTACCACACATATTCTAGTAGTACCAGTAGTCGTGTTTTACTCAGACTGTCCAGAAAGTAAACGAAGCAGCACCCTTAAAGTCCATCTGGCATTTAGTCTTCACATCACCAGTTTTTAGATCATTAGCGTGACAACATGCATGCTTTTCAAATAAGGTCATAATAGGCTACAGGTGAATACTACTGTATTTTCATAAACTTATTCACACTGTGAGAATTAAGTTCACTTCAGTGAATGTCAAGGGCAGGCTGGGGGAGAGAATAAAGCAAAAAAGGTGGAAGAATGTACTACGTACTGTGAACTATGACCAGACTATTTTCCTTAATCAGCATTCGTAACTGCTGCACTGTAGTTATGTTTTGTGATTACTGTCATGAGTTGACATTATCTGCAACTAAATTGTGAATTATGGAAGAATTTGGTCTCAAAAGTTACTGCTTTTCTCCAAGAAAACAAGCAATTCATTTAGCCAAAGCTGCTATGAACGGTGATGTGGACAACCAGGTTTTCCTCCTACCCAGCCCAAACCGAATGAAGTTCTCTAACATGGTTCTGACTGGATATTCTAAATTTCCCCAAATGTCATGGGAGCATCATACAAGAGAGGAATGGGAGACTCCTTAACACTTCGGTTAAAGTTCCATTATTAATGGTAATCCAGGCATCTATACAGGCAATTCTTATTTACTCCGAGAGATATTTTATCCAGGTAAGATGAGACAGAACTGAAGATACATCTTCAGGTGTAGAGGCACTGACACATCTACAGCTCTCCCACCAAACACCTACCCCAAGGTTGACACCCTCATCATTTTGATAAAAAAGTGAAACAAAACAGCACCACTACCAGCTATTCGACCTTATTCTACTTTATGGGCCTTTCTGGGTTGAAGAATCAAGAAAGCAGCTTTTCTGCAGAAGGCTTGGAGAGTCTACACGCAGCAAACACAACCTCAGTTTGTGCTTTCTTTGAGGCTTTGAACACTGGCAACACAAACACTGAGTTGAGAGACAAGCATAGTATTTTAAAAGGAAAGTGTACAAAATAAATAACGCTAAACAAGTTTTTCATCTACTATTTGCATGTACTGTAAGGTCATAATAAATATGTACCTGCAGAATCATCTTGATGCACAAAACAATTCATGTGACCAGGCATTTCAAAACTTTTATTATTACCTACATCATTTTCCCCCGAGCAGTAACATTTGATGTAATCACTAACTCAATGCCAACACCTGAACTGCCAAATCTCAAGTCAAAGACTAGAACATAACATTCTCTTATTTGCATTGTCACTTAACATTTAAGGGCAGCTATAAAAACGCTTAGGAAAACTCACCTAAGATATTCAAAAAAATGTTTACTTGTTAATTGAAACAGGACTAATTATTAGCTTAAAAAATAATCTGATGGCTGAAGACAGTCTATCAGCAGAGTCATTACTTTATTTTTGAATGTATTTTACCTCCTAACATACTTCAAAATGAGCTCTTATGATGTGATGAATAACAGCATCTCCTTAAAATATATTCTAGTGGCCTATTGGACACTTATTCACATAAAATATGCACAAGTGAGGTCTACACAAGTGCTGCAGAAAAATCTTTTGATCTGTATTTCTTGGAAGACAAAATGAATTCTTCCATCTCTGAAAAGTAAGGGGAAAATGGGATAATAAGATCCTTTGCAGTCTATGTGGATGTAAAAAGGAGAAACATTCTGTAGCATTAATGTTATTATTTCTAGGCTAGAGTCAAATTTTCAAGACATGAAAATAAATATGTCGCATATAAACACACACATATTTCAGTCAGATTAAATATCTTCTGCTCCCACCCACACCCAGACATACATCTTCACTCCCCCCTTTTCCCAAAAGAAATCCGTAAAAGCTCGGTCAACGGGTTTTACATTTAAAAAAAAAAAAAACCACATTTCAGGTCATCAGATAACTCAATAAAATACAATCTTAAAGAAGTAAGAAAGCATGAATAAAAATATATACAACAATTTCTTGTGTAGTCAAAGTATCAGCATTTTCCATATAGAACATCCAATATTTTGCTGCATTTTAATTAAGGTGTCTAAACATTATCACAAAGAACTGCAAATTGGTCAGAGCACGCAGTAAGGAAAATTAAGCTCTAAAGGCTTTTTATCACCATATTTCAGGAACCAAGGGTGTAAAATGTTCTAATTTGGGATATATTAAAAGCCATAAAAGGTCTTTCAAAAAGATTAATGGTACTTTGCTTGGATTTAAGATAAGGGCTTTAGCTGGTTGGAAAAGCAGGGCCCTGGCTAGACCCTTGAGGCATTCATCTTTACAGCCACTTGGAAGATTTGTAAAAGCGTCTGCATAACCTCAAGCAAACGCACTGCGACATTTTTTTTTTTTTAAATTCCTTTCAATTTTACAGGTTTAAAGTGTGTAAATCATATTGGGTAGTAAAGCTGATATAATGGTTCATCCTTGTAACACAATATATATATTTTTAAGACAAACTTCAGAAAACAACTTGGTTTCTACAGGGCAAAGACCTTTCCATTTTGAAGTTGACCAATAATCACGTCAAATCTCTTACTCTAGATGTTTAATGTAGCGTAAATGAAAATTCCTTATCCGTTATTTTTCATAAATTTTCTACTCATCTGAAATTGTTACCTTGTAACAAATTTCTGAAGCTTTGCTTCTTTTTGAACAGTTTCAAGGCATTTATTTAAAAATACCAATTATCATACTTTAACTTTTTATGGAATAACAGGTCTCTACGAAAAATATTTATGCCATTCTCTTTTGTTCTTTAATTAAATGAAAACAGATGTTTTCTGAAGTAAAGCGGAACCATTACTGGAGTACTTAAAGTGTTAAGGTCTTTAATTTTTATATCAGTTTGGTCTACAATTCCTGATTGTCTTTACTCAAGCTCAACATTAATGTCAAGCAAGTTACCTAGGAGACGAAAGAGATCAAAGAGACAAAAAACCCTCAAATGTCTGATTAATCAAGCCTGCAAACAGCTTATTTCTTTTAGCCTGCATGCAAGTATGAAAATGAGATTCTGGGAGCCGTACATTGTGCAGATTTGTTCATTCTTATCAGAACAAAGCCAGCGGCAGCTTATTTCATGGATCATTGGCACTGTCATCAGTGCTACACAGAACGGGTGACAGCTCCTCATTTTGAGGCTTGAACAAAATTAGCAAAAAGTCGGCACAAATTAGCCTCTCATCTTTTTAGTAATATGACATTATTCATTTACTTTTTATCCAATTTTTAATTTTTTCCTTGTCAGCTATCCCTTTCTAGTGTTTCTTGCACAGCATCATAAAACACTTTTAAAACAAGCAAAGAAATGGCTGAAGTTGAAATAGTATGTAAAGTTCAGGCAGAAGAGTAAACATTTTTATTAAGTTGCAACAGCATCTACTGTAACTTCCAGAAAACTTCCTTGAAAATCCAGGCGTTTGACACGAAATATCATAAAGCCAAGACTTTTCATTAAGACAGCACTGTGCAATGTCAACCCTGAAAGATCCAAGGAATGAGACAACAGATTCAAGAACTGTTCCAGAAATATTTGGGTGTGATAATACAAAACACTAACCCTACAGAAGCTCCACCAAAGCATCTCTATTCAAACAGGTCCTGCAACACCCTACGATCATACCCAGAGAAGCCAAACAGCCTTTTAATACAGTGTTACAGTTTCTCATCAAATATGAATCTAGTTATTTCAGGCTTGCCTTTAGCAATGATTTTCTCCTTTTATGTTATGGAATGTTATCCATTGCTGACGTATATAAAATATATAAAGCAAACAAGAATACCGAGTGGATTTTGCAGTGAAAATTGTCCCCTTTCAATGATGTGCTCAACTTCCACTGTAAAATACTTTGTAATATCTTTGTTGTATTTTTATGCTGTGCATTACAACATCAAATTATATTAGGATGACAGAGTAATGGAGGAAGGACAGAAAACTGTTCTAATAATAAGCTCTTTGCCAGATTCAAACATTTAAATGCAAGTAACTTCTTCCATTCATGAGAAAACACAGCATTAAAAAATTAACTATAAGCTGTTAGATGCTTTACACAGCGCCCTTATAAGAAAGGCAGTTTTAAAAAAAGAACTGTAGTACTGTTTTCAGCAATTTCTTTATCTCTGTTCTTCTAAGTAAGAAAGCTTATTAACAAGCTTTGAACTTAAAATCACATTTACAATAATGTGCCATCAACAGTTTTATAAGCTAATTAGAAAAAAAGATTAATTAATGACTGGCTGCTAATAAAATGGCAATCATGAAGAAAGAAACCAAGGGTGCTAAGCTTCAACTACCACCAATTAAGAGCTAATTACAAACAAATTATATATGTGTTTTGCTGTGGGCTTTAATTTACTAAAATGGTTTTAATTAAAAGAGAAAACATGCTGATTAATTGAACTGCAGAAAAAATCTACAGTATAAACTGTGCTTTGTCTGTCTCTTTAATTAGACTTGTAACATCTGAAATCTTTTTTTAAGGTTTGTTAAGGAAAAGATATACATAATTA